TGTTGCCCGACATAACCAAAAAGCTTCTCTTTTTTTTTCCAGTTCTTGAATCTCTCACCCACAAATGTGTCTCCACCGCCTTGGCAAATACTAACTAGCTCTTGAGGCTTAAATAAATAGCAATAAAGACAAAATGCAACATCTTTTTTACGCTTTATTCTATCTAATCAAGAAATTCTTCAAACTATTTTGAGTTAAATCTACGTGCAATATTTTCTATCATTGTTTGAGGGAAACAATAATTTTTTGGTTGATACGGACCTTTCAACAAATAAGCTTTACGAACTTTATCTCATTCATTTACATCATAACTTCAGATTGATGGTCTGAGATCAGGGTTAGCAGGGATATTGTTAATATCAATCTCGACATATTCTTTTCGCTTAAGAAATCATTTCATTTTTTAAAAGCCTTATATAATAAACATCAAGGATATTATTATAATGTATGGATTTCATCTATGAAGTTTGCACTGTTCATTCCTAGCCAAAATGAATCTATAGAGAAAATGTTTTTTGAAGACGTATAAAAATATTAATCAAATATGGATTAGTAAATTTTTAGAAGACGTATCAAAACTATTAACATTAGAAAAAAAGAGCAAGAGGAAGGTGGGTGCATGTAGCAAGTTGTCACAAGTAAAGCTAAAGACAAGAGAAGGTAGAGGGGAGGTGAGATCAATCAAAGAGAGGGGAGCATTGGCTAAGATTAGACTAAACCTGCTCTAAATCATGTTAGAAGGAAAATGTCTTTATGTTATATCTTATTCACTAGAGAAATCTTCTAGTTATAATGAATATAAGATTCTAAGAAACACCCAAATAAACAAACACACTCACCAAATAAATAGAACTTCCTAATATGATATTTTATTACACTAATAGTGACAAATTACTAAATCATACAAACAAAAACAAGCACCAGTACTGTCGATGCAAGAGAACAAACCAGAAATATAAAAATAACTCCGCAAAATCAAACACAAACACAATGCAATGCAATACATAGGCATGCTTTGCATTAAAATCGTCGGGCCAACCAAAGCACAATTAAAAAAAAGCAGATATTATAGTTCAAGGAATTTATTGGGTCGCAAAAAAAGAAGGCCTCCATAGGTGTTCAGCTGGCGAACTAAACTCGAAAATTTGTGCTTAAAGTGCTTGGGAAGAAGATCTCTCGAGAACCTCCAAAATCCCTTTACAGTGTGCAGCAATCTGTTCTTTTCAGAGCAACAAAGAGGACATCGAACTAAATAAAAAGAAAAAATGTTTTGCATCACTTTATTAGTAGCAACAAAGAGGACATCAAACTAAATATAAGCAAGATTTAAGACTTGAAGTTACCTTCAATAGCAGAACGAGCGCCAAAGCTGCGAGAGAATACGCCTGTCGGCCTACGAAGAAGATTCAGACGTTGCGAACTGAGAACGACTGGATGGATGCCGGAAGAAGAGGGCCACAGAACGCACCACATGTCTGTGTAGTCTATGCTAGTGAATTGATCTTGTACATTTTACCAAATGCTTAGCCAATTAGCCTTGCCCATCATGGGCGGATCCCAACTTTGCTCAGGGTGGGAAAATACCCACCCTAACAAAAATATTAGAAGGGTTACTTTTGGTATTCCCCCCCGCCCCCTCTCAAAAAGTTTTTTTTTTGCCCTAATTTGATTAAACTTGCCCATCAGCCCTTAACTTTTACGCAGCCCCCACATCCCTTTTGCGAAATATCCTCTTCGAAGCCCTCCTCTTTGCAGCAAACATCCCTCTCTCAGCCGGCACTCGCCTATTTGATGCCCTCACGTGTCGAGATTGATGTTAACAATCTCCTTGCTAGCTCTGATCTTAGACCATCAATCTGGAGTTATGATGTAAATGAGCGTGATAAAGTTCGTAAAGCCTATTTGTTGAAGGGTCCGCATCAATCAAAAAATCAACAATGATATAAAATATTGCACATAGATTTAACTCAAAATGGTTTGAAGAATTTCTTGATTGAATAGAATACAATGTAAAAAAGATGCTGTATTTTATCTTTATTGCTACTTATTTAAGCCTCTAGAGCAAGTTAGTACTTTCCAAGGCAGTGGAGACACATTTGGGTGTGAGGGATTCAAGAATTGAAAAAGAAAAAAAAGCTTTTAGGTCATGTCGAAGAATACAATAATGCATACAACAAGGCAAGATAGAAATGTGAGGCTTTAATGAATCTTCAAGAGCAGAGTATTACCGCTCTATGGTTGAGCAAGGAAGATAAGAATAAAAAAAAAATATCGCATCATGTTGACTGTAGTTGTTGATTGTGTTCGTTTTCTTATTTGTCAAGGGCTATCGTTCTGTGGGCATGATGATTCATCTAGTTCGAACAACCAAGGAAATTATATAGAACTGTTTCAGTTTCTTGCTAATCACAATGAAGAAATAAAAAAAGTTACATTTAAAAATGCAAGTGCTAAGCTCAAATTGATTACACCAAAAGTCGAAAAGTAGATTTGTAGTTCTATGACTGTTGAGACCTTTGGCTGTAATCATGAATGATATTGCTAATTCTTATTTTACCATTTTAGTTGATGAATCAAGTGATATGTTTACAAAAGAGCAATTAATTGTTGTAGTGAGATACGTAGACAAATTGGGTCAGGTAATAAAGAGATTCATTGGTATTAATCATGTATCTTCAATAAATGCAGTTGCACTCAAGGCATCAGTTAAAGATTTTCTAGCAAAATATTCATTAAGTATATATAGAATATGGGGTCAAGGTCACGATGGAGCATCTAATATGCGGGGTAAGTTTAATGGTTTGAAAACACTCGTTCTGAAAGATAATCCACAATCTTTCTACATTTATTATTTTGCTCATTAACTCCAATTATACTTAGTGTCTATTGTAAAAAATCATTGACAAATAAAACATTTATTTGAGATAACTTCAAGAATTGTCAATACTGTTGGAGCTTCATGCAAGAGAAATAATATCTTAAAAGTTATTCAGCGTGATAAGATAATTTTTTATTTAAGTTGTAGAGATTTAAATAGTGGTCATGATTTGAACCAAGAAACAAATTTTGCTTCGTACTGGTGACACCTGTTGAAGTTCATATTTTTAAATATTAATCAGTATAACTAAAATATATGCTTTTGTACTCGAAGTGCTTAAAATTGTTAAGGAAGATATGATACATTATCAAGAATCAGTGGAAGCTGACATTTTAATACATACAATGGAATTATTTGACTTTGTCTTGACACTGCATATAATGATTGATATTTTAGGGATTATAAATAAATTATCACAAGCATTACGAAGAAAGGATCAAAATATTATAAATGCAATGAAATCGGTAAAAATGTCAAAACATCAATTGCAGATAAGAGAAAATGGATGAGTGGGTGCTTTTACTTGAAGAAGTGTCACGATTTTGTAATGTTTTTGAAATTAAAGTTTTCAATATGGATTCTAAATTCAAGGCTCGTGAACGGTTAGTACGAAAAAGTGCAGAATTAATAAATTTTCATCATTATCAAGTTGATTTATTTTATGTTGTTATTGATATGCTACCACAGGAACTGAATAATTGATTTTCTGAAACTAGTTTATGGTTACTTCTTTGTATGATATGTTTAAATCCGAGTGATATATTCTCTTCTTATGATAAGGGAAAATTAATTCATCTTGCAGAGTTATATTCAGCAGATTTCTCTGTGGTTGATATTATATCTCTTGAACATCAGTTATCTATTTATATTATTGATATGCGCATGAGCGATGAGTTCACATCATTAATTATCATTACTGATATTGCAAAATATATGATAAAAGACAAAAAAATATACTGTATATCATGGTTTATAGACTTATTATTTTGACACTGATATTGTCAGTTATTACTGTTATAGTGGAGAGAGCATTTTCTACAATGAAGATTATTAAACATTGGCTGCGTAGCAAAATGGGTGATGCTTGGCTCAATGATTGTCTAGTGCCTTCTATTAAGTAAGAAATATTTGATTTTGTTTCGAATGAAATAATTATGTAACATTATCTGAAAATGTAAAGTATAATGTAAATTTTGTAATTTTTTTTTATTTCATAAATTATAATGAATTACAAGACTTTGTATTTATTTTTTTAATATTGAGTTTGCCCAACCTGAAAAAATAATTTGGATCCGCCACTGTTGCCCATGTATTTCAATTATTTTTTGTACATGTATTTCAATTATGTTCATTCTATCATCCTTTTCCTCGTTCAGATCATGCTGTTCATTTGAGATATTGTCTTGTTTTCTAACATTGCCTGCTCTACGGTTTTATACATTATTGATGTTTTAACATGAGATGATGCGCTTTTAGAGTGCCTGTCATTCCTGATTCGTTTCCTTTTCTATTCTCTCAGATCCCCACTTTATTATTTATTTTATTTTATTTTGTTTTATTTTGCATAATATAGCACTTTCTAACCAGTAACATTATGGGCTTATGGCATTTTAAACAACGGCCATGCAGGCAGGAATTCCTACCTGCCCGTTGACGCAAAGGCTTAAATATTTATCTGTTTCCCTTTGCTTGAAACTTCCTTTAAAAAATGGAAACATACATTCTGTCTTCAGTCAAGTTCTATGAATGAATATCTTGATCTTTTGAGCTATATGCCTTGTGTTGTTCCATTGGCCTGGTGCTGGTCTGTTCTAAACTCTCACTAAATCTTTATCATAGTTTTCTGGCATCTTTCTGTATCAAAAATTGACTGAAAAAATTTTCAAATCAGTTTTTTAGTAATTTTTTTGAATAGTAAATAAATAATCGTTAAAAGTTATCCCAAATGAAATCTTAATAGGCTGATTGCTAGCAAAAAAAAAACTGTTGAAAGTTTGTTTTTAGCATATATTATGAAATAACACTAAATGTCTCACGAATATATATATATATATATATATATATTATAACAAATTATAGTTTGATAACAAAATTTCTGTTGGCTTTGATTACTTTTTTACAGTTGACATGATGAAGCCCGGTGCCACAGTTATCGTCCGCAATGCAAAAATTGATATGTTCAAGGGGTCAATGAGGCTGGCTGTGGACAAGTGGGGACGAGTTGAGGTCACTGACCCTGCTAGCTTCATCGTTAAGGAGGATAACAACTTGTCTTTGGTGGAGTACGAGCTAGTTAATGTGGAGGCTGAAGAGTGAACGCATTCCCTATGTTAAATAGATCTATTCTGATGGAGAACCTCTTCAAATGCCCTTTTTTCTTTGCTTAAATCTGTTTCTCTCTCAACAAAGTAAAATTTGAACGTTGTAGCCAGTTTTATATATGCAAATAGCCACTGTGCAGCAGTAGATATCATCATCTGTCTATTAGTATTATGGGTTGTGGATGGATTGTAAATGAAGTAATTACTGATGTACGTAAAGATATTGACTATATATCAGAAGTTATCTAGTTTAGATGTTAGAAAATTATTTGCTGATGTTTGTAGCCTGACTAGGGTTATGCTGCAATATTTGAGTATAACTGTTACTACTTGATCACCATTCGCTTATTTTCGGTTCCAACTTACCCTTTTGCCGATAGATAATGTAGGAAAAATTATTCTGCGTGGACACCGGGCGGCAACCGGAGATCAACTAGAAAGCGTTACGTCATTTTTTTGCTCGGTACTAGTGCTCGGTAGCGCTGTGTATCGGATGATGTGGCATGTTCTGGTTGGTTTCCGGACCATTTGGTGTCAGCACAAAATAATTCTTCATGTTTTTTAATGTCAGGGCATATTCATCCATTTGTTAAACACGTGGAGCGTGTGATTGAGGTTTAGCATGCAACGGTATGCCTATGCTCTAAAATTGTAGGCTCAAATGGTCCTGAAGGTGAGCTTGGGTTGAACTATTGACGGAGGTAGCTAAGTTAGTAACCATAGAATGCTAAAAATGTCAAATGAAAGTCTAACGGTTTGAGATGCTAAAAATTAAGGTTTCTGTTGAGTTGAAGTTGAGTGAGGTTTATTTAAAATCATAATGTTCCACCTTGGCTTGCAGGAATCACGGTCGTCACGCGAGGCGGCAATTGTCCTTGTTTGTAGGATTTGTTGTGGTGGTGAGTAGCTTCGCTCCTTTTTGCTTGCTTGTATATGTAAAAATCTACATAAAATTTTTTGAAGTAATAAAATTAAGTGTTTGGACAAGTGTTTTGTATTTGATTATCTATATTGTATTGCATGTGCTATGTTTATAACATTGTGATGAGTGTTTGTATGTGTTCTAGATTGTGAGAAGAAATTTTGGGATAATTTTATAATTTTTGCATTTCTTTTCATCATGTTGAATTGCTTATTTACCTATTTGAGGCGAGTGTGTGATATGATGCTCATAGATGAGTTGACTATATGTGTTCATTGCTGACTATTTGTCATGGTAGTTGTGGAGGTGGTTGAGAAGAAGACCACCACATCTTGAGGTAATGATGGAAAGTATGGGAGAAATTTGTGCATTTAATCCAAATGTGAGTGGTGTTTTGATATATGTGTACTTTCGCTTTATATAATTACCCCTCGATTAGTTCTTCAAACGAGCAAGCTTTTCATTGCAACCCTTTTCTTTGCAGTCTCTTGAGCGAGTGTGTTAAGAAATCTCATAGTGTCCCTTCGTAAGTATGCAACTGCCTTCACAAATCTTGTTTGCTCAAGGGTCACAAAAAAGTAATGGCAATATACTGCTGGTTGGCTGAAGTTTGTGGGATAACTTTAACTATAATGGGGTAAATTTTTGACATAGGGGTCATCTCCTTGAGAACTCCTCAACATCCTTTCTTAGGGTCAGCAAAAAGTACCTCTACCTTAGAATTTAGTGGGTGAGTGTTCTTCCTCATGAGTGACTACCATACTTGCCAAAGTGGACCTCCTTAAGCACCATTTCTTTCTCATCTTTGATTGAGTGACATGACCTAACTCAACATAACCCATATGTCAAATCGGTCACATCACGTCAAAACATGAAAGAAAATTTATAAGATCTATTTAGAAGGAATTTCTTTTCATTTCATTTATTAACTAAAATACAGAGAAACCAAATATCATATTGAAGAACAAATTAAACTACTCAATTTTTCATTCAAATCCAAAAAGCTATATAGTAAAAATATCCACATATAGCAATCATGTTATAGGTTGTTATATCATCATTAGAAATACACCATGATTGTCAAAATAATCTACTAATAAAAAGATATATTTAATACTAAAAATATGCATCCTCTATCTACTCAATCTACCCCCATTCCATTTCTGACACCTAAAATTTACACATACAAAAAGATTAAGAATGTGAAAACAACAACTTATTAGGCTACATAGAACCTACCCATATTCTTAATAATAAACAAAATAGTAAACAAATATTTTATTATATCATCACAAACATAGTAATCTATATTATTTATCTAGAAATTTGCAGTAAAGGGAATTACTAACTACAATTTCTCACACATTAGATGTTTAGCTATTTTCACTTTAGTGCCAACATAAATTTTGAATCAAACAGTTGAAATAACACACATTCACATATAATAGAATTGAACACATTATATTAGTCACTAATGACACATTTCATCATTCATAAATAATGAAAATAAACACATTATATTAGTATCTAGTGACACATCAGATAAGTCTCCGCTCAGGCCTATATACCTCCAAAATTTTTCCTAAATATAGATTCATGCATTTATGACTCCCTATGAATAACACATTAGTATTAGGCCCTTATGACTCTAGTGTAAAGGATAATAATATTAGGCCCTTACGACTCCTGATGCATAACACCATCTATTCATTAAGTATTAGACCCTTATACCTCTACTTGGATGCACATGAACATTAATACCAATCAGCAATATTTCCTTCTTTCATTCAATTTTAAATCACATAAATTTAGAAACATCACCACTTTCAACATGCATAAATAGTATCAGAAACATCACTAAAATATACAAAATTTTCACATTTATGGTAGAGTAGTCCAAATTTTGGGTAAATTTATACACACACTTCAACAATTACAAATAATAAAACTATTCACATATAATATTCATAGAAGTATTTTAGAGTTATCTTTATAACAACTTTCACCAGGATAAGCATACTCTAATAAATTAGTTAAAATACCTATAGTAAGAAATACCCAAAGAAAATTTATAATAAATATATCAAAATGTGCATAATAATAATAATAACAATATATTAAAAGTTACATAGTGAAAAATTTCTTGATATTAGTTTATCACAATTTTTGTGATGTTCGTTCAATTAAAAATTCAAAAATTTCTAATCCATATTATTAAAAATAAAGTTGGAGTAAATGTAACTTGCCTTTATCTAGACACTTTTCCAATTGGCCAGATGGATGAAAATGACTCAAAGATGCCTAAAATGGACTTTCTCTCTTTAGAAATTGATCAAAATAATGTGAATGAATGTTGATTAATCATTTTAGTGAATTTTGATATTTTATATAAAATTTCAAAATGTAACACTGTGGCACCCTAAGTCCCAGCATCGCTTTGCTCCCAAGAAACCCATAACTTTATGCATATTACAAAGAACCCAATACAACAAGGATCCATTTTATCTTCTTAGTATAAAATTTCCTATGTATCTTGAGCTGATTTTAATCTATCTCTAATTAGTTTAATCCTTTCAATATCATCATCCATTTTAACTAAAGTTGGTCCTATTAGACATCTTTCTCCCATTTCTATCCAAGAGAAATGCGCCCTGCACTTGCAAACATATATAACATCATAAAGTGCCATTCCAATGTTAGATTGGAAGATATTATTATAAAAAATTCAATCAATGGAATGCAATCTTCTCAACTTCCACCAAACTAAAATATACACAGTCTTAGTAAATATTTCAGTACTTAGATAATCATTTCAAACTGACTATCTATCTATGAGTGAAAAATAGTATTAAAAAAGATTCTAGTTCCCATGCTTCTTAGATACCTCTTCATAATCTTGAAGTAAATCTACCATCACTATTTGAAATAATAACCTTTGATATTCCATGCAATCTAATAATATCCCTTATATAGTTGTGCCAATGTTTCCACAAAATTAGTGTCCTATCAAAATAAATTTTGTAGATTTCATCAATATGTCAATCATGATATCGAACACATCATACCTTATCTAGACTTTAAAAATCTTATAACAAAGCCGATAGTGATCTCTTTCCACTTCTACTCAAGAATGGGTAAAGGCTGCAGTAAACCACTGGGTCAATAATCTTTTGCTTACATCATATGAAAAGCTTCACATTTTGATACAAATTTAGCTATCTCTTTTTTCATCTGAGCTAGCAGAATAATAATTTTAGATCATGATCCATTTTATTACTTCTAAGGTTAATAATATATCCATAATAATGAGCTTCATACAAAATTTCTTTCCTCAAGCTTACACCACTAGGAACCCATAATGGACCTTCACATTTTATTATTCCAAGATAATTTATCTAAAATTTAGGTTTCATTTGAAACTATATATGATCTATAAATTTTGTACACTCCTCATCAAACTTTTTGGCTTTCTAAATCCTTTCTTATAAGGTAGGTTGTACAATCATCAAAGAAAGCATATTAAATCCATATTAGTGGCTTTGCCCACTTCCAGTTTAAGCCTTTTCATATAGAAAAATAGAAAAGTATTAGATGCTACCATACATTCAACTACTCCTATAAGTTTTCTACTCAGAGCACAACCTTTAATCAATTTAAACAAGCTCCTTTATCTCAAATGTAGCTTCTCATGAGTGAAAACTATATTTCAAACTCTGGTGATCAGTAGAAATTTTAAAACAATTTTTTTTGTAGATAGTGCCTCCAAATCTTCAATGCAAAATAATAGCTATCAATTCTAGATCATGAGCAGGATAGTTCTTTTCATATGGCTTTAAATATCTAGAGTCATAAGTAATAACTACAATGCTATATATAACAATTATTATTTGGCTTTAACTTCTCTTGAGTGAAAATATATTTTAAACACTAGTGATCAGTAAAAGTTTTACATCAAATTCTATGTAGATTAACATTATTATTATTTTTTCCTATTATTATGTTATTTTAACCTTACAATCCATGTATTTTGTGTAGAAAATTATATGAAAATCTTGAAAAGTGAATTAACACCATACCACCAGAAATCAATAAAGTACTACAGTGCTACTTCTTTAGTGGTGCAGTGGAGAGCTTATACAAATCTAATGGAGAGCTTAACATTGAGGCACTATTCAGTCAAAACCGTAGTGCCAAAAACCTAGTGATGTGATGTGAGTTAATTGGACTGGTGAATCAAAGTGATTAGTGGTGAACCAATGCACCAGTTCAGTAACATCAAAGTGTCAGTCACAAAAAAAAAAAAAAACTATAAATAATCATTTTATTCCTTGTGTAGAGAGGTTGGA